GTGCTGAGAAGTTTATGTAGGTAGGTAACCATGATAAGAATATTTTCATATTGTTCACCTAATTATCTAAAGTACCTACTCAAAAATCTTAATTGTACAATTAAACAATAATGCTCTATTTAGAACCTACTAAGAATATTATAGGTATATTCTTTTTCTTTTGCTTTGTATGACTTCCAAGAGAGGGAGCGACGCGCTATTAAAGATCTACATCTTGCCTCGAATTTGAATCACCTTGGAACCTGTTTCTCTCAGTTGGCGTGCTTCGATGAGAGCATAACAAGCTCGAAACCGGAGCTTTGGTTAAATACTCGTGTTTTATAGAGAAGTTTTCCAACAACTCTTTCACTGCCTTTAATATAAAAGGGCTGAAACGAGCATTATTTGGAAGCGAAAATAAACATTCCAAGTATATCCTTAGAATCAAACAAGAATGTTATGTCTAATATGCATATTGAGAATGATATATGTAGATATATTCTAAGAATATTTCAAGCATATTGGTATAATATTCTTTTGAGAACATAACTATAATGTCATAGAAACATTTTTTGAATGTGAGAATATAGGTACGTTTCGAGCATATTTTTAGAATCAAACAGGATTATTCTTTTAAGAACGTACTGAGAATCTCATAGGTATATTCTAAGAATATCCTAATGGATTTCCCAGGAAGTTCTTGGGTATTGCAAACATTATTTCTACAATCTTTTCTCAGAACATTCTCAGGACATTCGCAATGGTTTTGGCGAACATTCTAGGCACATTCCTCCTGAAAAAAGAACATTCTTAATACATTCTAAGGATGCAATTTTGTTATGTGGGTATGGGTAACAAAACGCAAGGACCCATCAAATATGACACCAAGGTCCTTAACGTGCTCGACCCTAGCAAGGATGTTATTTTCCATACTGTACTGAAAAGTAATAAGTAATAGGGTTTTTTTTGCGAGAAAAAGATATGACGCAGGATTTTTTTAAATTAAAATTCATATAATTTTTTTTACACCATAATACAAGGTTATAAATGTCCTGTTGAATCCTAACATAATCCTCCTGATAACAAACCCTCCCATAAATTTTGAGATCATTATAAAGAAGATATTTACAATGGGTTACTTAATTTATGATATCATTTATAAAACAGTTGAAGAGCAGATGACCTAAGTGGGCTCCCTGCGGCACACCAGAACTAACTGCTGTTTCTGACGAGATATAATTGTTGATTCTAACATGTTGTTTACGTCTAGAAAGATAACTGACAAACCAATCCAGCAGCGTACCATGAACTCCCATGACACCCATCTTATCAATAAGAATTTGGTGATCAACCTTGTCAAAAGCCTTGGAGATGTCAGTGTAGATGGAATTCACTTGAACCTCCAAGGCTTCCAACAAGTACTCATCATATAATAAAATGCTAGTCACAGTGGATCGACCTGGTACAAACCCATGCTGATGATATCCAGGAAAAAGTGGATTCAAGAGGAAAGAGATCTATTCTGTAACTATACTCTCAAAAATTTTTGCAAATATACAAAAACCTATTGAAATTCCTCGATAATTGTCACCCGACTAGTGGAGGGGAGTAATGTAAGTAACCTTCCAAAAATCGGGGCATACCCCTGTGGATAGTGACAAATTATACAGGGCAGTAAGGGCACTTAATAGAAAACACTGACATTTCTCAACAAAAACAACTGAAACAGCATCAGGTCCAACCCCCAAGCGAGTCGATATGCGATCAATAGCGAGGAATATATCTAATGGTTCTATTATTAAAGAATTTATATCAATTGTGCGATCAAAGAAAAAATCTTGATGTTCAGACTGGCATGTAGAGTGATTAGAGGAGAAAAAGAAAGCAAAGAGATCAACAATTATTGCTTGGTCATTTTTTGCTGATTGTTGATTATAGGACATTGAGCTAGAAAACCGATATTTTTCATTTTTATTGTTCACATAACTTCAGAAAGTACGGCTCTCGCTGCAGAAGGAGGCCTCCATGGATAATATGTAGTCACCATAAGTAGGTATTACGATAAACTTATTCCTTACAGTTTTCTCTTGAAAGAGAAAAGACTCTATAATCAGAATATTTACCAGTAGCTTTGTATTGCTTGTGGGCTCTATTTTTATTAACAATAAGCTCCTTAAGATCATCAGAGGACCAAACATGTTGGGTCGTGTTTCGAAAGTTGTCTACCTGAACATTTTCCCACAAGGAGCTTGGCGCCTGTTGTTTAACCTGACTCTCCAAAAACAAACTTTCTATCGTTTTTAACTCCAAAAATATTATTTTTTCTTCTAAAAGGTCGATCTTATCTTTATTTGTATTTTTATCCTGAACTTCAAATACCAGTTCAGTCAATCCATCTACATCTAGTTTGTTTACATCATCGCCATTGCAGTCGGGATAAAGGATTTTATTAAAACCTGTGACTCTTAGGGCCGGTTTCTCAATAGCGAGTCACCCCCGGGCCTGGTTGGTTTTAACTCCAGGGTTAACGTATTAAACTTTAATGTTTACCCTGGAGTTAGTTTAACCCGGAGGTGACCTGCTATTGAGAAACCGGCCCTTAGGCCAGCCAGACGCACGACACAAATGGCATGATACAGAGCGGAGCACTTTACACAAGAAAGAATTGTTTTTATAGATCTTTAACACGATATACACTTTAAATTTCGACTTAAACCAGAGGACTCCGAATCAACGTCATTATCGTTCGCTGTCTTGAATTATGACAAGGCACATGTCATAAGTTTGCTCATCAAAGAATATCGAATGTAATACCACAAGAGGTTTCAAGATTATCTAATAATACTTTTACCTGTCACGAAACGCGTTACGCAGCAACACCACGACTCCGAAGGAGGAGTGGTGTTGCTGGTAACGCGTTGAGTGTCAGGTAAAAGTATTAGGTAATCCTAGAACATCGAGTGGTATTCAAAAGGTTATACAACGGACTAAACTTGTATACTTTATTAATTTTTATTATTATTAATAACAAATGAACAATATTGCCACCAAGAGCGATAATCCCAAAAGACTTATCACTTATTAAGCCTCTCGTGTCATATGGGAATAATGTACAGTGAGTATAATCGAATGTAATATCACAAGCGGTTTCAGGATTACCGGATAATACTTTTACCTGTCACAAAACGCGTTACGCAACAACACCACGACTCCGAAGGAGGAGTGGTGTTGCTGGTAACGCGTTGAGTGTCAGGTAAAAGTATTAGGTAATCCTGAAGCATTGAGTGGTATTCAAAAGGTTATACAACGAACTAAGCCGTTACTAAACTTTAATACTTCAATAATTTTTATTATGATTAATAGCATATTGCCACCAAGCGCGATAATCCCCAAAGGCTTATCACTTCTTAAGCCTCTCGTGTCATATGGGAATAATGTACAGTGAGTTGTATAATCACGTTAAGTTATAGATATCATGCGGGTGCGCAGACCATATCTACTTGCAAACCTAAGGCTGAGATTTTTGCCGCTGAACGCTCTTAGACAAATTTAAAAAGATATCCACGCTTGCGTTATATGTTTTAGGCTTCGGAAAACCAAGTCAGAACAGCTTATGGGATCCCTTCCGCCCGAATATGTTTCTATAGCTGCTATAGTATAGTTAGACCTTTTCTAAATGTCGACAGTCGACGTTAACTTTGGTGAACCTTTGATGGTTGAGGAATCTCGGTTGAGAAAATCTCTCTTGTCCAAAGCATAAATAGCGCATGTATGCATGAACTGGAAATCCGTTCATCTTGAACTCGTCTCATATTTATCATGCTTTTCTACTCATTAGTACTCATTCTTAAGAGGTTTGTTGCTAGAGGCGGTAAACCAGTTTCAATATTTAGCGACAACGTGCTATGCAATAACTTCATGCACAATATTAGACAAAAAATTTAAAACGAAGGGAAAATTATAAATAAATTATGCTTTTTGAGCAGAAGAAAGCGCAAAATTAATTACAAGAACATAATAGTGCAAGATGACGCTGCTGCCTCTAGTGGGAGAGATACGAACAAATTACCCCATATAGTACAGGGTGGGCCAGCGAAAACGAAACAAGGTCGATATCTCGTATTCATCGTTCATTGAAAAAAATCGCTCGGACCCGTCGATTTTTATTCGGAGGGGGAAATCTTTTGCACATATTTTCAATGTTGTCACTTCACCCCTCTCGCGGGGGTAAGCTCCAACCCTTAAATCTTAAATGGCAGTAGGGGTCAAGCGATACCTCATTTCAAAGGTCATCGAATTCTCTTTTCAACGGTGCCTATTTTTTTGAATTTACTAAGTTTTTTTTTTAAAAAATTTTTAAAAATTGGAATGTATTTAGTTGAATTTCATTGAGTGATAAAAAAAACCTAGACTTAAACCTTGTGATTTCAAGTTGGATAGCACACAACTTTAAAAAACAACACATAAAATCACTTCTTAATTAAAAAATTTTATAACTACAAAATTGATCGTGCTCAAAATGACTAAAACAGTACTAGTTCCGTCTATTTTTAAATGCGTTTTCTCGAAAACCACTGCATCAAAATCAAAAAAATAGGCACTGTTGAAAAGAAAATTCGATGACCTTTGAAATGAGGTATCGCTCGACCCCTTTGCCATTTAAGATTTAAGGGTTGGAGCTTACCCCCGCGAGAGGGGTGAAGTGACAACATTGAAAACATGTGCAAAAGATTTCCCCCTCCGAATAAAAATCGACGGGTCCGAGCGATTTTTTTCAATGAACGATGAATACGAGATATCGGCCTTGTTTCGTTTTCGCTGGCCCACCCGGTATAAAAATCTTTAAGGTCCTAGGAACATAATGGACCACTTCTGTGTCAAAGCAAGGGTTGACGGCAATGAAGTTCAAATCATAGACCGCTTTAACATGAAATAGTTCGTGTCTGTACATACTCACTTAATCTAGTACTAATTAAACTTTGTGGTTGGGTGTAATCTTAAAATGAAACTTTCGGAACGTCCGCAATTGACTTTTATTAAACCACTAAAAATAGTCTATCTGTTCGACTCTATCGAAGAAACTCTGGTATTCTCAACAATAGTCTTCTTTCAAATATTTACAAAGCTATATAGATACTTATCATTTTATTACCTACTAGCTAATGACCCGCTGCGTTGCCAGGGTGTAAATACATTTTGAAATAATACACTTCTTTTCAAATTTTGTTGTTGATTTTCTATTTAATTTTTTTTTTTTAATCCGACATCAGAGTCGCTTGCCAGTGAGTTCAGTGACGCATTTTAAGCACTCCAGTGCTGCTCTAGAGCGCCCCGGGCGGTTTATAGGCGTTCCAGTGTATCAGAGTTTTACGCAACCGAACTTTTTTTTTCGGGATAAAAAATAGCCTATATCACTCTCCTCTATAGCCGATTAGATTGACCGGATTAGATCGATCTGTTTCAATTTAAATGAACCACACTGTGTTCGATTCAAGCTGGATCAGTGCACCCTCATCAACAAAAAAATTATCTAGATCAGAAGAAGTTCACTTAAATTGAACCCAAATCGATCTAATCTGGGTCAATCGAATTCACCTTATATAAAGATACGTGGTATTAATTCAAGATCGGTCCAGCCGTTCTTGAATTCAAAAAATAATAAAGTTACGTCGGTTGAATGCAAGCCTAAATAAATGAAATATGTCAACGTTATTTCATGCTGTCAAAAAAAGTTGTGTTATGTTGTTATGTAATGTGAATGAGTTTGTTTACAATTAAATTAATAATTCCTAATTCAAAATTAATTTCTTTTGCCGAGATGCGTAACCTATCCACAAACCTTCCTTGGGATGGCCATAATAACCTACCAAAGTTTCATCGTAATCGGATAAGTGGTTTTAGAGCGCATATCCGGATACCCCGTGAACTTTGAATTTTATGTATATAGATAAATAGATAAAAGATAAATAATGACAGAGACAATACTAAACTTTGACAATACATCAACGTGGATACCCTAAACCCGCGGACAAGCTTTGTTAGATGCAATTCGAATCCCTAAAAAGAAATATAATTAAAAAAAGTTAAAGTATTTGACAATTTAAATTACTTCTTCCACATCTAACAGCACAATCAAACCTAGCTTTGTTGATGTAAGTAACATTATTACTACCACATACAGGATTGTATTGTTGAGTGGTTGAGCACCTATCCTCACATGCTGAACTGGTAGTGCCCATTCCAGGTATAGCTACAGTTGTACCTGAACCTAAAAATGAAATTTTTAGAATACTTACATAAACTTAAATTTATGATGATAAAAATACCTGATGTTGGCCTAGATGTAGAAGTGAATTGATTATTATTTTGACTAGGTGTAGCAGCAATTAGGTTGGAGTTTTGTCTAGGTGTAGTAGAAAATTGGTTATTTTTTCCATTCGTAGGTACTACAAAGTCGTTAAACACGTTATTGTCGTCAAAGAAAATTGCATTATCTCCAGGAAAATTTCCAAATCCTGCTGAATTTTTTTTATTACAATTATTTTTTAACAACATGAATTTTACCGTTATTTATTGGTCTTTGTCTTGAAAATGATTGAGAAGGAAATCCAAACTGCCGTTTAATCCTGATGCTTGATCGAATAGGCTGTGTATTGGAAAATATGGAAGTTGATTCTGCGTCAATTGTCATTCGGAAAAATAGAGTAATAATACAATCTAAAATAAAAAAATAATAGGTAGGTATTTCATTTTTGGTAAGACTTAATTGCTATGAGAAAAGTGCCACTTTCCGCAAACTTGTAGAAAAAAGTCTTTAGTCTTTGCGTGCATGTGCAAAACTTTTTATTTACAACTTCCTGCACACAATTATTTTCGCAAAAAGAACTTCGCTATTAAGTAAGCCAAATTTTGGATGGTTTCCATTTTATTCTATTTTTGTAAAATAATGGGAATAGAAGATTTATTGAATGCCTGCATCACTGTTCCTCCAGAAAACACGAAACCAACAACTTGTATTGGCTTAGGAATGGAATAGAAGATCCAATATATCAATATCACTGTACCGCGGATACAAGCAATGCATTTTGAAAACCACTCTCTCTCCGAACGTAGGCATCCCTCGTATTATATCTAAGTATATGAAAATTAGTTCAGAAAATCTGCCACCATCAATAAAAATTGACGTCTCCGAGCATTTACCTAAAATTGTTATTTATCTAATAAGTGCGGAACACAGAACATGCGGAAAGTGATAGTCAATAATATAGTCGATATAGGTTCATTTTTTTATTTTAATGATTGTAGCACCATAGTATCTATTTCAAAATTTCTTGCCTATCTTTGTACTTACAATTAAATATCAACCGGCCCATGTTGAAAGATTCCACAAAAACAAAGATCACCGTCACAAGAAAATCCTGTATATTCGTTCACTCACCCGATGCTCTTCTGTTACTGCGACCACAGCTTCTGCAAGCGTCGAGTTCAAAGAATTTAATTTATTTTCCAACCCAGTGGTGCATCAGGTATAAGAGACGGGTACTTTGCCTATGAATTATATTTACCAAGTAAATAAACAAAAAATATTGACAGTGTCGCAAATAAGAATTTTCCTTTATATTTATGCAGAAAAAGACTAATACGGATTTTCCGAATTAGAATCAGGATTCACAACGATAATGCGATGATAAGTGCCTATGTATTTTGCTTAAGTGAACAGGTTTTTAATAATATATTGAAACTAATATAAATTATTAACGAATTTTAACAAATGCGTCATAGGCCACGTTCACCAGATACAAACGTTGGTAAACGGTTTGCGACTGCTCTGCTGAACGCTACGTTGAATTTGTGTTAAAACCAAACATGTTTTGTAAACGGTTGCCATTTTTGCAAGCATAATTTCAGAGTATTTATAATTTTCAACTCTGTGTTTTGTCATTCAGAAGGTGTGACGTTCTATCATTGAAAAGTTGAATCGTTCAGCAGAACCAAGAGTTTACCCAACATATTCTGTTGGTATTTGTAAACTGTTTACAGCCGTTTTGGTTCTGGTGAACGTAGCCATCGATGGTCTTTTTTGTTTACTTCTAGGTGTAATATAAATACAAATTTTGTTTTAATAGTATTTCTTATCCGAAGAAAAAATAAATAAGAATACCGTGTTGAAGGCAAAAACATATAGGATACTGAACATGGGTGGTGCCATACATTATTATTCGAACATAACAGAGTAAAAATGAGGGATAAATTTATTAACGTCTACCGTCTACGGACTTTACCTATGTTTTTTTTTGCTGAAATACCTGATAGAGTTGAGTAACGTGGGTTAGGATAGGCAGTGAATAGTCATCTCTGTTACCTATAAAATCTGGCGTTCCTCAGAGGTCAGTATTGGGTCCAGTTTTATTTCTTATGTTCCTGAATGACATAAGTTATCTACCCATCAGAGCTAAACTTACTTCTTTTGCTGATGATAACACCTTGACTTGGCGAGGAAATAATGTTGATGATTTAAAGGAAGTTATATCAGAGAATCTGAAGCTCATCAAGGAATGGTGTGACGCAGACTTAGGTACTTTGTTTTAACACTAAAAAAACCAATGTAGTAACTTTCAAATACATTTATAATGATTTGGTTTTGGAAGCACAGCCAATTGAAAACAAAACAAGTTGTAGGTTCTTGGGCATCCATGTGGACAACCATCTTAAGTTTAATGAGCATGTCAAAATCTTAAATAATAAATTAGCCAGTGGAAAGTTAGATTAGTGGTGAATGAACTAGATTTGGATACTGCGAAGTTGGTATACTTTTCGCTGGTATAGAATTATTTATTTATTTATTTATTAACGTATCAACATTTACAACACATTAAATATGCCATTTCATTCTGGGGTAATTGCTCAGATGGGCTGTTCGAGTCTGTTTTTGTTTTTCAGAAACGAGCGTTAAGGTATTTGTGTAGGGTTGGATACCAACATCATTATTGTGAACCACTTTTTATCCAGAATAAAATTTTAACAGTTTGCTGCTTATTTATCCTTGAGTCAGCCTGCCTAGTGCACAAATACCACTACAGTAATCTAAACAATTCAGCGACTTACGCAACTAGGCAACGATTGCAGACTCGAACACCTAGAAACGTTTGATCTACCTTTACTACCTAGATATTTACCTTCCGGTAAATCACTATTTATCAAAATGAATGAACACATTTAAAACATTTTTGAGATAATGATGCATTTGTAATAAAAAATAGCGTATGATATGCGTGTATAAGAGGGCCTTCAAAGCCCTTGCGACTTACAAAATACTCCGCTGCGCGTCGTGTGTTGAAATATGTCGCGTGTGCTTTAGAGGTCCTCGTTGTATCAGCGTCAGTTTCAGTTTACCGGTAATACTGGTTAAAAAGGTAATTGAAAATTGTCAACTTTAATCGTCATCACGGACGTTGTTCATTTATGTTATATTTTGCATAGCTGTAATAAAGTACTTAAAATATCCCAACCAACTGTGTTACCATTCATTGAAGTCTCTGCTGAAATATGGTGGCAGCGGTAAAAGTCGGAAGCTGAAAGTTTTTCAAACAAAAGTGATATAAAGACGGTACAGTTGTGGAATGGGCAGAAATAAAACCATGATCAACGCGGGAAATAACACAGGCGCAGGCGGTAGCCAGACAGAGAGACCGGTGGTGAAGGACAAACCGGAGGTGGTGAAACAGGGATCGGAAGTGGCCAAAAAGAGGCCAGTATGGGTCAAAGAGGTAACATTGTTCTAGGTATGGGAGGTGCTGGTGGCAGTGCAGGACTTACAATGGCAAACCATGGTGTGCATGTACAACCCCCAGATAAATTCAATTTTCGAGAGCCGGGAGGCTGGAATACCTGGAAAAGAAGGTTCGAGAGGTACTTATTAGCAGTATCGGGGTTAAGTAATAGGTCTGATGCAGAGAAAATCGATATTCTGATTTATATTATGGGGCCAGAGAGTGAGAATATGTTACTCCAATTTCCAGATCCTACACCAAACACTTTTCCAGCCACACTGGCTGGTTTTGATGCCTATTTTATCCCTAAGAAAAATGTAGTTTTTGAAAGGACACGTTTCAATAGAAGGAAACAACAGCCAGGTGAGCCTGTAGAAAGTTTTATAACAGATTTGCATATGTTGTCGGAGTATTGTGAATTTGTTTGCTCAAATTGTAGCTCTGCGGCTGCGAAAAACGATTTTATAAGAGATCGGATTTTCAATAGTATTTTGGACCAAAATTTAAGCGATAGATGCCAGCTTAAATCTGATTTAAAATTAGAGGATGCGATTGTAGAGGCAAAACAATCTGAAATGCTTTTAAAACAGAGCAATATTTTAAAAAATAGCGAATGACCAGGAAAAGATGTGTATGCCATGGGTAAAAGAAAAAAGCAGAGAAGCCCTAAGGGCAAGCAGAGGACAGGGCGGTCATAGAATATAGAGAAGATATTATACAGAGTGTCCCAAAAAGATACCGACAAACTTTAAGGGGTAGTAGGAGACATCAAAACAAGCATTTTTGTTTATATAAACATATGTCCGCAAATGAGCCATTTGGGCTGTAGAGCAAAAAAACTATTTGGTACCTAGTTTTATTCTTCGCAATAATTAAATCACTGTTTACTTATTTATTTTGCTTTATTAACAAATAAATTATGGTTTACAATAATTCTTCAACTCGCGAACTCTTTGGAATATTCCGGGAATAGCTTCTACATGGGTACAACTCGCCAATATCCTTGCTAACAGATCTTCCTTATTACGAACAGGTGTTTCGTAGACTAAACTTTTCAGTCAATGACCCGACGGTGCAATCTTTGCAGTGAAGTAAATAGTCAACATTTTGAACAATTATTGTAAACCATAATTTATTTGTTTGTAAAGCAAAATTAATAAGTAAACAGTGATTGAATTATTGCGAAGAATTAAAAGTATCAAACAGTTTTTTTGCTCTACAGCCTAAATGGCTCATTTGCGGACATATGTTTATATAAACAAAAATGCTTGTTTTGATGTCCCCTACTACCCCTTAAAGTTTGTCGGTATCTTTTTGGGACACCCTGTATACCTATATGAGATAATTAGTATTATTGCTCTAGTTCTAGTCTAGTTAGTTATTGAATGTGTTATGTAGTACATGCGTAACTAACATCAGGACACGAGGGGGCGGATTACGAACTCTCGATTCGAACCGAAACCGCCATGGATTTCGAACGCACTGCATGCAAATGCATCAGTTCGAAATCTATGGCAGTTTCGGTTCGAATCGAGAGTTCGTAATCCGCCCCCTGGTCTGATGTCAACCAGTTTTGTAAAACGTCAGATATTAGATCCACGTTGTCAAATAAGTTCTCGTCTATTATTTCTATGCTCTATCCTGGAATCACCAGGATATGACATAGTGTCAGGTAGTAGACATCTCGGGCAATCTCGTGGCGTGCTTTAGTTGGTAAGAAATCCTTGATTTCGTGAAAAATAGTGCACTTGTTGCACCCTAGAAACTAGTGATCTGTATTGCGCTCGTTGCACCCCATAGTAGACGATCTTCACTTAATATTACCGAAAAATAGAGAGTTTGTTCCGCCTACCAGAACAACTTAGTTTAGACGGTAATGTTGCTGAAAATTGAAAGGGGTTTGAACAAAAATTCGAAGTTTCCTTAACTGTGACTGGGTTAAAGAATAAAGATGAGGAAATTCAAATAGCATAGCTGTGTTTCTAAATCTCATTGGAGATGATGGCCTTGAGTTACATAATTGTTTTTCGTATACAGATGCAGAGAAAAAATCGTTAAAATTAATATTACAAAAATTTAAAAACTATTGCTCGCCACAAGCCAACATTATTTTTGAGCGATTTAAATTTAATAACATTGTGCAAAAAGAAGGCCAGTTATTTGACAGTTTTCTGACGTTGAGAAAAGCTGTAAAAATGACAAGGACCAAGATGACATGGTTAGAGATAGAATTGTGATAGGCGTTGCTGACAAAATACTCAGGAAAGGCTTTTGAGAGAGAGTAGCTTGACTTGATTAAAGCTATAGAAATGTGTCGTGCCTCTGAGATTAGCAAAATCCAAGTTAAAGTGCTACAAAGCGAAGCTTCAGTTAGCGCGATGAATAGAGATAGAGTGCATTCTAGTTCTGTGTCGTCCTCGTCGTCTAGATCGACTGGAGTACCACAGCCTTCAATCTTGTGCAAGTTTTGTGGATACAAACACTTGAAAAATGGTAAATGTCCAGCCTGGGGAAAAACTTGTGCGAAATGCCCGAACAGGAATCATTTTGCAGCTGTGTGTACAAATGGAAATAAGTCGCTTATCAAAGTGAAAGAAAATAGAAAATCTAGAAAAAGCTTGAAGAAAAAAGTGCATGATCTAGAGAAAAATGAATCTAATGAAAGTAGTGATGAATCAGAAAGTAGTGATGGGCAATTTTATGTAAATTCCGTTGAATTGATTAGTTCATTGAAGAAGAAAGTGCAAAAATCTAATTCACAAGAGAAAGTTTGGAAGCAAAAA